TAAATTCCTTATCTGTTCAGATTTTTATTTTTTATTGTATTCTACCATATGGTGTAATATTCTACCATATTTTGTAATTGATCTTTATTTACTACAAGGCAGGAAATGTATCTCTGCATCCTATTCACATACCCTGGTCTTGTGCAAGAATGACATTGAAATAGTAAAGAAAAACATTTTCATAGTCGTTACTCGGGAAAATCTGTTGATCCTGAAGGTCTCCCCCCTGGTTATTAGTTCACTCATTAATCATGTGTGTTATCATTTAGAAAATGTGGGTGTCTATTAAAAGCAAGAAAACGCTTTGAGGATATTTGATATTTGTTTTTTGTTTAAATAAAGGACCCACCACAATGAATCGCAAGTTTTATTTTTCTGGAGGCTCAATACTGCATGAATGGGGCTCCTCGGAGTGTTTGAGGAGCACAGAGAGTGACAGGTGCATTTTGTAATGCCTTGCTGATGAGAGCCAATCAGCTGATTCCGTTCTGGTGTTTTTTTTCTTGTCATCTGGTATGCTCAAGTAAAGATGAGCTTGATTGACAGATGCATCCAGGTTCACAGTTTATTGGTTTCTGCAAAAGAGCCAGATATGCCAATTTAGACAGGGTAGTGACAAAAAAAGTTTCCATCTAAATGGAATAATTTTACTACTGGGAATTCTCGGCTGGGGGAAGAATGAAGGCAAGTGTTTTTTATATTTTAACAAGGGCTGAATGACAAACATATACGACAGTTAGAGGCTGACAGAACATCAGCTTTTGATGCTTCACAGGGGAGCTATGAAATAAACAATAGGCAGAGAAATTGAATTACAACCGAATAAGAGAGTCTGCTTTGGAAGACGTGGGATTGGAGCAGCCAGTGGTGTGATTCAGAAAGAATAAGTCAGCTTTTAAACCATATGCATTATTAAACTTCCTAGTTTCTAGAGCTAAATCTTTCCAGTCTCCAACAGGCAGGCTGCCCTGCGGTACTGTGGAAACATATTTTTTCCCTTTTGAGAAACACCCCCATTCTTTTATATACTTAATTGAAACTTCATTTTGGAATGACATGCATTTTGAAATATCAAGGATTTACTACAGAAATGGCAAAACACGTTGATTAAAGTACACTGACACTGAGTGTTTACAGCTCTGACAGTAATTGATTCATCTTGTTATCAGGATTTTGTTTTTCACTTAAAGTGACCCTGTCAGTGTCCAGAGACTTTAATAGCTCTGATAGTGGAACAGATTTCAGAACAACCTTCTATTGCTCGCTTTGTGTAAGCTAATGATGGATTATCTCATCCTGTGAAAAACAAATGTCAGCTACCCACTTTATTTTTTCTTTTTTTAAAGTACAAGATTAAGTCATTGCTTACATTTCAATAGTGATGCAATAGTTACAGTATGAATATCAGTCCGCCAGTTGAAACTACAGTACTGTATTTTAAGAAGTAAACTCTTTGTTTACTCCTGGAAGCTGTGGCGTGCTGTGCAGGAAGATTTATTTGTGTTTTAATATCTTAATATTTTAAGACATGACTCCTGACTGTTTTTATTAGGAGTGAAAAGGGTTTTTCTTGACACACAGAGTTGCCAGTGTCTGGAACAAAGAAGCTATCCCGTCATGTTGCTACAACCAATCCCCTGTCATCAAGGAACAGCTGGACTTTCCAGGATTAATGAGCCCCTAAGACTTAAAACCAGCAAGGGCTCTTTACATTTTGCTCATTCAGTTGTGTAATATATTTCACTTTTTGTGGCATTGGTAAACCAACTTACTTTTCCAAGATAATTTCACAAAGAAGAAGAAATATGTCTGAGCAGAAGTGTTTTTGAGCTCTATCATAACTGAAAGACTAATAATAGCTGAGAGTTCTCTGGAAGTTACTCCCAAAAGGGGAAAGCTGGCAAGAGCAACAGTCATGCTTAGATATCATAAATAAAAACAAGACTTGTGTCTCTCAGTATCAATGCTGCTCAAAAAAACTTTTAACAGAAGCACTAGCTATGAAACCTAGTACAAGCTGAGTTTTATTTTCAAATTAGGATGTCGTAAGGTAGCAACAGCAATAACGAGCACCAGATCCCATCCATTCTTGCATTTTGGAACAAATTTGTATCTTAGGAAGTTGTATCCATTTTTACCAGCTCCCTGGGATGAAAAGAAATGGATCACAATACCTCTAATTCCTCTGCCAATGCAATGTGAAACACATATCACCCTTTTGAAAAGGCTCTGTGGTGTTCAATATGCATGATGCTCTTGGTACTATACACAATGTAAAGTATAAATTATATATGTACCAAATATATAAATTATAAATGAGATACACGTACATGATTTGTGTTGGGAGTAGGGGACACTAGGTAAATACAGCACATTGCAAAAGACTTTGAATTATTTTTAAAAATTCATAATGATTTTAATTCTGTATTGTTTGTCCAAAACAACAGCGTGGGGATATGGTGAATAATGCACTTTTTAATGTTGGAAATCAGGTGATTAGAATCAACGATGCTTTAGCAATCGGCTGTGAATCAGAAAAAGCAAAAGAAATGGAAATTTAGTTTTGACATCTAAAGAAATGCGGAAAGAGGTATTTTGTCTGATCATAAACGCTGTCAGGGCCAAGACAGCCACTGGAAGCTTCTTGAGTCATTTCTTGAATTGTACGTTGGACAGCTGTGAATCACCTTATTGTTCATCGTTTGCTGAGCAAGAAGCACAGCCCAGTCAAAGGGAACATTCACGCTAGCAAGCAGAAAGAGAAAGACCTAAACATATTCTTCTAAGAAATGTCTTAGAAAATTCCATAAAAAATTAAACAAAGCCTAGCCCCTGAAATTTTGCATCTAGGTGTCTGAATTAAAAACATGCTTTCCAGGTCTGCTAGAGAGCTTATAATATAAGCTCAGTTCACAGTTAAGACAGTTCACAAGCTCCACTTGACTTACTTTCAGGGAACAAAGTAACTACTTTACAAATAGCAATGCCAGCTCTACTAATGATAGGGAATACTGCTCTACAGAGAGGATTCAAATGATATTTTTTACAGAGCACTAATAACATAATAATTAATAACTGTCATGGCACTTACAGGAATGTATTTGCTTTACTAAGAACATAAGAATGTTAACAAATGAGAGGAGGAAATTCAGCCCATCAAGACCCTTCGGTATTTACTGCTTAATTGATCCAAGGATCTCATCCAGCCATTTTCTGAAGGCAGTCAAGTATTGGCTTCAGGTATTCTACTAAGAGAAGAGGGCTGTTTGTTCTCTGCTACGTGAACCAAATCACTAGTGCTTGGGGCTCCAGTCCCCATACCAGTGTATAGTGGGTGCAGAAGGCTGCTGTGGAAGTAATGAGCAAAGCACTTGACTCAACTTGCTCTATCGCCCTGCTGTACAAACACGTGCTCTCCTAGCATTTATCAAAGACTCGAGCAGGATTTGCTCTCATCTAACTGGTGACGACAGCGCCGTAGAGACATTATAAACGTGCACAAAACATACTTCCTTGAGCCCCAAATCCCTCTTCATCGTCACGTTTCATCCCTGCCACATGAGGCGTGTGGATAAATAGAAGGGACACAATTAACAGCGCGGTATCAAAACTGTCACACCTGTTTTAACATGAACACAAGTACTGTACCCGGCTGTTGTAAAGATTGTAAACACTCTGTCACATCTTGATATTCCGATCAGGAGTGTTTGCGACTATTCATAGGTCATTGGCGTTGCAGACCTCCACCTGCTTCAGCTGAATGAATCTGAATCGGGCTGAACAAGTGGGCTGAGAGCTGTGTTAAAATGTGAGTCCGTGTCCTGTGTTAGTTGTTGGGGTGTTTAGATACTTGTTGAAAAGTAGTTTTGGTGCAGAAGCTCGATCGCTTGCAATAAACCACTCCTGATTCGTAACAATCAATATCATACTGGTTTAATTAATTACTAAAAAAACAATACAAAAGCACCTGACATTCAGAATTCAGTCCATTATTGACTGAACACAGCTCTGAATACTGGCCACCCAACAGTATTTTATAAAACATTAGGGGTTTCTAATTTAATTGAATTTTAGTATACATTTTAAAGACAATTTCTCAGTTCATCTGGTAACACAGAAGTTGTTTTCTGAGAACTTCATCAGGGTTCTGAAGATAGAAATGTTGTTTTATATTATATGTTGGAAAGTATTGCAAATCTAGTCACATTTGCAAAAGTAAAACATGTAGGAACCTTTTATGAAATGTGCCGATCTTCCAACAATTTGGCACATTTATGAAACATATATTTCATCAGTAGTATGCCTGATGTTAAACCTGCCTTGTGCTTGGTCAAAGGTTTCCTTTAAAAACATTCAAAGTGTGCTCAATTTGCCTCAAAAAGGCTAATGGTTGATTAATGTGGATGAAATACAACAATTTTAACTTTTAAGAATTTACTTTGATTTAAATTTATTTTGTATTCTGCATTGGGCAAGCTAATGTGTATACAGTATGTTTTATATCTATTTTGTATTTACTATTAGTTTTAAATATTTGTCATTTCTGTATTAAGTGTGATCATCATCCCCTAATGAAGCAATGCTTTTATTTTTTTTAAAGAACTACCCACATGCATTTTTGATTATGAAATCAAATATTATACTACACAGTGTATGTTACACCCAAACGAATGAAAATATCCAGGTAGGTGTACTATGGACTACATTCACTTGTTTGCGTTGCTGTAACATGAAAAATCCCTTTACAAATTTCACTGATCTATTGATCCACTCAGATAAGATTTATTAATCCAAAGAATTGTAAAGTTGGATATGTAAGTTGTGAATATGTAATCAACACGCACTCACACACACTTAAAATAGCAACATTACCTTCATCGCACTGAACAGGAAGTTGGCACCTAGAGGTGCTCCCTTTAAAACAACAGGCAAGCTTAGGCGCCTCTGAATTCAAAAGAGACCTTGCAATGAAGCAGTTAATAAGAAGTTACTCGTGATTCTGAGTTGACATACAAAAATTTATTTCTCATGTGCACAAAAAAATCTGAACAGAACTGGAACAATGATTGAAGCCATGTGGCTTTAGTTATAGACCATCAAAAATCCTTGTTAAGATCTGTGACACATCCCTTGTATCATCTTTACAACCGGAGGAGACCCATTCCTGCTGTTGTCAGCTGTGCAGTCTTACTTTTTATGCCTGTTTTTTAAGGTGGCACAAATGTAGTACCCAACCATAGCTTTAGAGTTCAATAAGAAATAGAGCAGTTTATTGTCGAATCCCAAGTGCAATATGACTATGATCATTTCTTCTTTCCAAGTGAGGGGCTGCAATGCTGGAAGCACAGTCTTGCTGTTTGATATTTCTGCCAGAAGTTTGCCGGCATTATAGGGTCACCTGATTCAGATGTGACATTCACCCAAATAATTACACGAGAAGAGTTTTCGATGCAGGCTTTGTCCAGGATGTTACTCTGCTGTGCGCTTTTAATTTTATCCCATTGGGTGTGTGTGTATGAAAAAGCATGCAAACTTGACCACAATGAAGTAGGTAGGGTGATGTTGTCACTATAACGTCTAATGGTCACAAAAATAAGTTGCTTTTTACTGAGCAAGGAAAGGCCGGGCTTTCTCATCACTTCAGTTTAAACATAGTTACACACTTCACAATGAATGTGGAATGAAGGTCACGTTTAGACAATAGTTGTGACAACAGTCTTCAGAATCAGAGAATGAAAATATATATCTTTTTCTTTTCCCTCTGGCAAGCACATCAGTAATTTCAGTTTTTTAAAATTGAGGGTTGTGTTTGACTTGGTCCAGTGGCAGAGCCCAGCAACAGAAGAAATTAAAAAAAGCCATTTTCTTTCTTTGCATAGTGATTTAAAAAAGTCATTGTGGGAAAAAAGACAAAACAACGCAACCAAACCTACAGGTGATGACTGTCACGGCCTGAATCCCTTGAACAATTTGTAGGAGACTTGTGAGTTTGTAGGTTCATGCTGTGCTTGGTCTTTTTGTAGACCACAACCACACTTCAGACACAAATGTGATGTCACTTTTGTCCTTTTTATATCTACAAATGGGAGAAGTAAATTAGTATTCATGTAATGCTGTAATGCTCAGGGTGTACGTGATCTTATATACAGAGAAGAATTGTCTTCACATTATACACAAATTATTCTACAAAGCAGCAATTTGTTGCAAATAACATAAAATTAAATAATTGCTAGAATTCACCTTTTCGCATACAGAGATTTAATATGCATAATGATGTTCTTTTTTCTCTGCATAATATTACCACATAAACTTTCAGTGTTGACTAGTTGGTTTTTACTATAATACTGCTTTTACAATGCATACACAGACTGTAAATAAAATATTAACAAGAACTAAGTCTTTGGCAAATGTGGTAAAAAGTTACATTCACTTTACATTTTTAGGAGCAGTAAGAGTGAAAAATTTCACCACTGAAAAAATATTGTTGTTTTATATTCTTTCTTCACTGCATTACCTAATCTTTTAGTTTAAAGACTAGCGGAACTAACAATAATTGGTTGAGTTCTTACAGTTGCTTTCTAAAACAGAAAACTGCTGTAATGATGCTTTATACTAGAAATGTAGATTGTAAGGCATTAACTGTGGTCTCAAACTGTAAGACTTGAGATGGGTTTTTTTCAGTTCATGTCTTGAACTAATCTTCATGGATTCAGTGTGAGGGGGTTAGGGTATATCCAGTTTTATCACTTAGAAAATAATTTATGATCCATTTTTTTAGTAAAATTTTAGTCCATCAAAATAAAGATGCCCTTGTTCTTTTCTGCAAGTGATTGGGGGAAATGTGTTGCGTGAATATAGTGTTAATCTTGTTCATTATTGATATGGCTTGAAGCCTGAGGCCTGACAGAGTCTACATAAAGCCAGCAATGCAGTAATAGTGCCTGTCACAGCTGTCTGCATCTTAAACAGCTGCCCTATGCAGTATGTGCCTCCGTCTAACTTTCATACCTGGATGTTGTCACAAAAGCTGTTTGCTTTGTTCTTGTTTTTCATTATAAGTGCAAATAGTTACAGAACACCTTTAAAAAGACACCTTGTCTTAATTTTTTTTGCTAAAAAATAGAATTTTGGACTAAGGCTTGGAAGCCAGTGTACATGGAGGATGTAACATAAATTTAGAGAAAGATTTTAAAATGTTTGCTTGTACTGTATGTATGTTATAACTGTAATGACTACACCATGTGAATCTAACCAATGCAATGGCATGGATAAGTAATTTGTAAACTTCAATTCAGGGCTTCTTTAAGTGCCAGCTCTGATCAATTGATATATTTACACACGTTTTCAATGAAATGGTTGTCTATACTGCCCTACAGAAAAAGGTAGTTACCAACAGTGAGCTCTGAGTGTTCCAATCCTATAGTGTCACACCTTCAGATAATAGTGCAAAATAAGAACCAACAAAGGTCAGATATTGCATGGAATTGGATCATTTGCTCTGTCTTTAAAATACAAAAATGAAATGAAACAAATTAAAAAAAAAATCAAATGATCCTGAATGTTCAAAACAACAACGACAACAAAAAAAACGACCTTCATAATAACATCAACAATGATAAAAAAAATAGAAAAAATTAATTTAAGAATATATTTACTCATTTAAATTCTGGTCGGCAGAAGACCATGATGTGTCATGGCTTCCTTTATTTTTACATTTTAGTTTTTACAACTGATTGTGTATCACATAAAACATGTCCACATAATCCTCTCATGGCATCATCAGTAAGGAATATACTTCGTTAGACGTGCTGTGCTGCTTGTCAGAAAGAGTTTCTGGAATCTGTTGACAAGGGGACGGCCCACACTGATGGCTCTGTCTTTTCCACAGAATGAATGTGATGTGCAGTCCTCTTGGTTACAGCGCGCAAGTGAAGGGAGCTGTGCCAGGCAACTCAGGAGAGTCAAAAGATTCTCTGCTTCGGAGTAAACTGCTGCTTTCAAGTTTGAGTCCGTTTGCAAACTTTTAAGAGGTGAGATCACAGTCAGATAAAGGAATGTATTGATCCATGAAAAAAAAACAACTAAAAAGAAAAAAAATCACATCACGTTTTTTACGTTGCCTTCTTAACAAGCCTTGTTTTTCTTCTTTTTTTTAACAATATATATATATAATCTCTCAAAGTCTCTTGAAATTTTACAGTCTTGCAGATTGAAGCATAGGACTGTGAACTTGGAAGGGCCAAATAGTGTGTGTGTGTTTTGGTGTGTGTAGTGGTTGGGAGTCCCTGTTAGTTTGTCCTTCATAATGTAAGCAAGAGACAGTAGGAGGGTTTTGGAGCGGTCTTCCATCTGTTTGCCCTTAATGCTGATCAGACTGGTACAATATGGAGGCCATACCCATGATCCTGCAGTTTGATTTGGTTTCCATGGTAACTAGTGGCGGTCGTAGGCAGTGGCAGCAGTGGGAGGGGCGGAGCCTCTAGATGCGGCACTATAATAATAAGGGGAACCTGAAAGTTAACACAGGAGAAGAATGGACCGGTTGAAAAGACACAAAAGTGCGACATAAAAATTTATAATTCATGCACACTCCAATACCTGTGATTTAGATGGAGCAAGACTTTAACTCACATGGAAAATAATAAATTAAATCGCTTTAGAATGAGAAAAAATTATTAGGTAGAACAGATGTGAGGGGGACGTTTGTGTTGTTTTTCTATTTATAGGTTTATTGTTGAGACCAATATTTGAATTTCATAAACATAAATATAACATAAGCTAATATCCTAAAGCCAGTACCATAGCTTCTTTCAAGAAGCAGCTGGATGAGATCCTTTATCAATTAAATACCAACTACCAAACGGGTTAGATGGGCTTCATGGCTTCCTGGTGTGGCCTTACAAACACGTGGACATGTATTTATTTTCAAATTAAATTGACTTTGTAAGACCAAAATTTATCTGATGGTATTACATCTGCAAAAACACCATTCTCATTAACATACTCATCTTAAAACTGATTGATGAAGTTTATTGGCGAAACATTAAAAAACTCTAGATTGCAATTGGCTTAATTTGATTTTATTTTTCCACAGACAGAACTGCTCATTAAAAAAGGCACAACATGTAAACCACAAACGCCACACTTTTATTGTCAATTAATATTGTAATTATACATTATTTACTTCATAGTCAGATGTAATTGCTTTTGCAATGAACATTTAGCTGCAAAATAAATTATTCTCCTTTGTGTCCTAACTGTACTTTCACTAAAATATTGATCAGACATGAGTGTGGTATTTTATTAACATGAAAGAGTAATTATTAAAAGGGAAGTTGTTATAAGAGACAATAGCAGTAGTGCATATGCACAAGAAATATGCCATTTTAAAAATACTCACTTAATAATGCTGGGTTGCTGAATCTCCAGGCTTCATTGTAGGTTGTGTACTGTGGATGGGTATAGGGGTTTCCAGAAAACTCACTCCCTAGAAAAATAAATGATAAGATCTCTATTTTTGAATTCTGAAAAGCATGTAACAGCAAAACAAAAAGGAAAGGGTTTCTGCATTGGGGATTTGTAGTCTGTTCTATGGTAAATAGTTTGTTTTAGAAATGTAAATTGTGATGTGTTTTCTTCCCACTCTGCTTTGAAACAGTGTAATCCCTGCTTTGAAATTCTTTAACAAAAATCAGTGCATCTGAAATTAAACCGTTGGACTGCAAGCCCTTTAAAGATTTTGTTTTTTGTGTGTGGTGATCATTTCTCCTGCAGGAGTACTTCCCTTCAATTTATTACTCAGTGGATCCTTTGGTAGTTTTAAAGATCTGTCTTTGTTTCCTTGGATATGAGTTTAGAGTCTTCTCCCTGCTCTATTTGTTGAAGCAGCCGTTTAAACTCCTGGGGCCGTGGTAGGAAAAGGATTGTTGTAAAGATTTCTTTTCTCTCTCCACTGATTTTTTTTTTGTATGCTGCAGAATTCCAGTTTCAGGAAGTAACTCAGACCATGTCAGTGAGCAATGCTGTTGGTCCAACACGTTTCTTTCTTTTATGAGACAATAAAGGCAAGATTTTATATGAAGCTGGTGAAGAATGGCTTTTGGTTTAACAGTGTTTGGGGCCTGTCACTAAATCTTAGTCGGTCTGTGCCCGACGAATGGGGTAGTGCACAAAATGTATAGCCTTAGGATTAAGAGGGTTTCTGAGCCTCACATTACTGTGTGTGACTGATGAAAATGAATGTTTGATAAAAAACATATTTGAAGTACTAGAAAAGACATGTTTTCCAATGGAATGAAGTCTGTCACAAAATCAAATTATCAAGCGGAAAACAATATTTATGTCACTGTATGCAGAGGTAATGCATAAAAACTGAAGCTTGTTTTCGTTTTAGATATATAAATATTTTTCTGATAAAGTGAGAGAACATATACAAGTCCCCCATTTTATGTAAATCGAAATCACCTTGCTTTCCCGAATAATGTGTCCTAATATTTTTTCACACAGGTGAATGTGTTCTTGAGAAAATGCTGGTGCCATTTTTGGTTTAAGAGAGGGCTTGAGCTCAGTGGCGGATTGCATCCTGTTGGCTGGAACTGGAACTCTGGCCTGGTCCCTGGGAGATAGTGATTTAAATATTTACAGGCCTCCCCTGCCTCTGTTTTGTGACCCTTAACTGTCTGCCATGAACCTGAACCGCAGGTTAAGTAGAGGCGAAAGAGATACGCTCTGTAGCACTGGGGCTGGAGGACGGCTGAAAACAATGTTTATCGACGACTTGTGAAAGTACGCGCACAAGGGGATAATGAGCTTTGGAAGTGAAGTGTAACTGAGAGGAACTGTCCTATCTCCTTTCCTCTGATCAGTTATTGAGCACATTTAATTTCCTCATCCACTTCAGATAAGTACATTTACAGCTCTGAGTCCCCGGTTCTAGGTCAATGTCACTTGGCATGCAGAGTCATGTTGCTGATCACGATCTAAAATTATTATCTTATTGCCATGAAAAACAATAACATCAATAATGAATTTCAACTCCTACAAGTATTCACTTTCTGATTTATAATCTGTATCCTAGAAAACTATGCAATTTTTAAAACATTTTTCCTGTACCTTTTGAAATATACATATATATCTCCCTTGACTGAAAACTATGAAGTTTTAAAACTTAACTACAGGAAGAGCATTTTCCTTAAATTTTAATTGACAAGAGTCATTAATACACATCTTAGATTAATTTAATCAAGCCAGAAAATTCATATTTTGTTGATATTTAATATATAAAAACGAGTTTTTATTGGTAATGTCTAGTCTACATCACTTTATGTTCTGTACATTTGAAAACTGGATTTTCTTTAATAAAAATTACCTGAAAATGTTAGAATATTTTTTTCTCTTAAAGCTGTGATTAGTGAATACACAAGCTGTTAAAATGTCACATATGTGAGTATGTAATATTTTAAAAATTGTATGAAGTCAGTAACAATTTGGCAACTAAGATGCCTATAAACCTCACATTTTGTATCTGAATTTTCAAGGATTTTTGAAATTTCCCACAAATGTTCCAAAGAATGACAGAGTAGGTTTTCACTTACCAGGAACCATTCCTGCAAGTGTGGAGGTGGGATAGCTTCCCTGTCCAGTGGGCGGCACATGAGGTGGGTATCCAGGTAGGGTAGTACTGGCCATCTCCCGACCTGGACAGAAGGCAGACCAGAACAAAAATTGACTTTTTGAACAGCTTCCCAGAGAACATAAAATAACTGGTTTGCTATTTAATAAAGAAACCGTGGAAGTGTAACCAAGAGAAACTGTACCTTCCCAGTTTATACAGTGTATTCTGTCCTCTCTACTGGTACAGGTCTCTTTGTGGAGCAGTGGTTCGGGCTCTAACTACAAGGTTGCAGGTTCAAATCCTCAGTAGAACAGTGCTGTGGTACCCTGGAGCATGCCCCCCCCCCCCCCCCCAATATACCACACTATAGAAATAGGGTTAAGTGTATGTTGCTCTGGATATATGGCCCAACCAATAAAATCAATCATTAGTACTTCATTTCATCTGTTCCCGCTTGTCTCCAGAATAATATATCTGTCTACCTACCTACAGTAAGCTGTTTTGATTTCTCATTATGTTATTGTAAGGTGTGCTATTAACATATATGGAATTTATAAAACATTGTTTTACCTTATAGGTAACCTTATATTTAACAACAGTTTCTATTTTTTTTTGTCCTTTTAGATGTGTTTTCCTGAGGACAGTCAAGTCCATGATGTCAATGCTAAAATTCATAAATATTTTTTTAACTACTTTCTCATTCTTCAGAAAAACACATTAAACATCTTCCTTCCACCATTTAAAACTTTGTCTTCCCTCAATAGTGTTCTGTACATCACAAAATAAAAAATCCACATGTGCTTTAATTAAAGGCACAATGACAAAGCCATCACCTGTTGTACACATTTCATCTGAAAAAAAAACATCATTATACAAATGATATCATGTATAGAACAGTGACATGATAAATACACACTGTACACTCCTAAGGACACTCATACTCATATTTAACATGTTAATATATATCATATTCAAAATAAGACTTATTTATTCGAACATCTCATGGATTAAGGTGTGTAATAAATTAAAGAGAATAATTGCCTTTATGGTTACACAGTAAAGAAGAACAAAAGTAGATCTTAAAGGAAAAGTAGGAAACTGCAAAGTCTTGTATCAAACCGAAAGCACTAGCAGTCCCATTTACTAGGGTGAGAGTGCTAGTGAGTCTTGACTTTGTAAAACTCTTATAATGACTCAGGACAGGGCATTAGGCTGCACTGAAGATTAAATGACCATGGTCACGTGTAATCAACTGCTATGCCTTTTTATGTAGTTGTAAGCACATACAGTACTTTACAGGGCAATTGCAACATTTCACTTTAATAATGGTATCAGTGGGGGTTAGAATGTTTTGGAAAAACAGAACCTGGGCAGTTCTCAGGAATGGTGTGCCATATTGCTTCTTAAAGCCTATGCTTTTACACAGAATAATTCCCTGACCACACACCAAAAAGGCCCACACCATGTGAAATCCTTTTCTTCCTTCTCTATTGGATTTAATTCCCCATCTTCTCCATACATGTAGTGAAACCTTTTCATTTTCTGCTCGTTAACATCTTCCAAACTTTCTTCATTCTGAGCTTGTTTAACCCCAGAGACCCGACTTTCCAAAGCAGAGCACTTCGGTCATGGTAGAATCCAGAGATGTACAGCAGAGCCTTTGTGGCTCCGGTCCCTCTCAGTCTTGAGCATCATAAACACAGTGTTTCCACATTCAGCACTGTAATTGGTTGTGACGGTTGACTGTCCTACCCAAGCACCAGAGTGCTTGTGTTGCCGCACGTAGCTCTAGCAGATCCAAAGGCCGGCCTTTAGAGGCCCCGCAGATGATACATTGTTAGCAGGAGGAGCACTGAGGGTCAGGGGAAAATCATTTCCCAATTGTGCATTAATGAGGAAGGCAGCAGTCAAAATTGCTTTTGTTTACATAATACAACCCTGAATATTTTAATAAGGCTTTGTGGTATGCCTCACGACGTGGAGGTCCACATTCTGCTGTTAGGAAAAAAAACTTTGTGAGCACCTCGGAAGAAAACTCATAAATGTGTTACTTTTGCCTGCTTTTAAGACAAGCATCCATATGGCCATCTGAAGGTAGTCCAAAGCAGTGACCAAGAACAGGAATGTTTTTTCCCATGTAGCCATATAGATATACTACTATATCTCATGGCAAACTGATATATATATTTGTTTTGATTTTAAAATTTCACAGATTATGAAAAAAATGTATGAACCAGCAAAGAATGAACTGCAAAAACATTGCTCAGGCAGGCAGTGCCATCAGCTTTTCAGAACAAGCGTACTGAAAAAACGGAAGAAAACGGCAAGTTTCCTTTTATTTTTGTTGCGAGATTCTACTATCTCTGTCGCCATGGTTATTTCTGCCCTTTTTATAGTGTTAGTGAAGACACAAAGGAAGAGACAGATCCGTCGATAGCTGAACGGGAATTCATTTTCTTTGGCGTCGCATTCAGCAGTGTATTAACAGGGAATGGCTAATTGGACCCACAGTATCCTCTCCAGCAGCGGCTTCCCCACCAGCGCGGAGTACTGTGACTGCAGTAGGGATGTACCTGCTATTAAAGGTTGGCTTGCGTACTGCCCGTAGCTGGAGCCACGGTGGGCATAGGCACAGTAGGAAGGGGTTGAGGCGTCTACAGACACGGTGGGCTGGAAAGGCTGCAGCTCCGCTAGGCCTGAGCCCACCAGGGACGAGGGGGTGAAAGGAGCCAGCGAGGCTTCGTGCGGCTCCTGCTTTACACAGATGGAGGATGAATGGAATTCTGCCGGATGGAGAGAAAAAAAATACAGACAAAAAATAATGACGCACAGACACACACAGAGAAAAGAACAAGGGGAGACAATGAGCGGTGGGAGAAGGTGGAAAACACCAGACGTGACCAATGCTGGACGGGATGGAAGTAAAAGGGTGGAAATGCCCCGTGTCGGATTTTGAGGGATCTCAACGTCCTCAGTCAGGTGCGGTGCCTCGGACGTTTCGCAAAAGAAGACGCCGCTTGTGTGCGCACTGGTGTATCGCACGCCGAGGAGAACCGTGGACGCTTTGTGGTGGAGTCACGGCAGACAGGCCGCAGGTGAAGGTATAGTCTCAGCAGTCTGACACAGCGAGGAACGGGGGGCTCAAGTTGAAATGGACACACTGCGGGTAGGATAGATGTTTTCATAATGGCTTTGGAGCCCTTGTTATCATCACACGCCGGTGGCGGTTTGCTTCAGTGTTGTGTTAATGCACCGGAATCTCCCTCTTTAATCCCCTAATCCCATTGTTCTCAGAGTGCAGATGCCACCCCCTACCCACATACACCCCAACATTGACTTTGCTTTCAAGAAAAAAGAATCCCTCTGCAAATCCCTCTTTAAGGAGAGTAGGCAAACCCCAGTAGCAGTACTCTTTGCCCTGGATTTCTCTCGTGGCCAGGCTTCACAGACAGAATTTCTGGCTAGAGCTCACGGTGCTCTTACTGTGTTAAGTTTGGCTCCAAGGGTTCAAGCTGTTAATAGCGAACACCTCCCATTTCAAACCACACGGAAGCAATATGGTAATGTGGTGGGAAAAACAAAAAAAAATGTAGCTGTTGAGGGTGATCAGTCTGAATTCTGCCAGGTTTTTCTTGGACTGCATGTTATTGAGAGAACATTGTACAGTCATGGTGGTATGGTGATATTAATTATTATTAATAGTACGTTCATCCCTAGAGGTCCCCAAAAGCACTTTCCGAGCCTGGCAGCCATTGTGGACCAGCAGTCCCACTGTGTAACACATCAGGTGGAAAAGTGAGACATTTCTTCACCAGCTAAATTAAGGACAATTAGTGCAATCCTAGTGTAGCTAGTGTAAGCTAGCCAGAACTCCAGGGTCAACATCCTTGTTCTTACAAATAGCACCATGGGATCATTAACTACTGAACACTCAGGATCTCTCTTAACAATCTCATCCAAAGGATGGCGCCTCCTACTGCGGACACAACACCATGTCCCTAGTGAGCATACTGGGGTCCTGCATTAGAAGTTCTGTTTAAGAGGGAATAGTGCCACCTACTTGTCTACCAACACCACTTACAGCAGCAACCTGATTCTCTTTATAGGTCTCCTATTTCAGTACTAACCAGTCCCAAGCTTGCTTAAGATTCTGAAATCTGAAAACATCAGATTAGAAAGTGGTATAGTTGTTGTCAGGTTACACACAGGAATACAAGCAAGACTTATATCTAGCAATCAGATACATACGAACAAGAGCTTACAGTATATGCGGGCTTGCTTCTATAGGACTTAATCATAAAAGCATCTGTATGGAATTAGGTAGTTATAACTACCTAATGCTATTCTAATTTGAAACATAACAAGCCTTTTAAACATACCATGCTATGTTGTTTCATTAATTATAGAAGTCACAAAGGCATTTCACAATTGTTTTGCAATAAAAACTAAACAATCTTCTTCCTAGATTATTGTGAAATGCATTCTTAATGCTTTTTTTAGCGCAAGATATCTTTTTTGTAAGCAAATGTTCAAAAGCTGTACATGTTTTATGTCACTGGATTTCCTTTTGAAACATAAGCAGTCGATGTGAGTGCTGTTCACGGTACTACATGTCCTCTTTAAATTTTTTTTCAGTTTGCAAGGCTGGTGGGGAAGGCTCTCAGGACTGCATGATAACCTCATTAGCTGCTTCCTAACTATTGTTGTTTTACAACAGAATTGTGTGTCGAGATTCCTCATTAAGATAAGGGCTCCTTTATATGGAAAGCTTTAGTGACAACCCTCTTAGACCTAATGCCAGGAAATCAAACAGCCTTACTGGCCCCTTTCCCACACAAATCAATTCAAAAGTGAAGATTTACTCATTTAGTATAAATAGAATAAAGGAAGTTAAAGATAAAAATACCTTACTGCTTCATTAAGTGTCTAAGAAAAAAAGAACATTACTGAATGCCTTTATCCTTCTATAATTAAGGAGGCTATTGATATGTACTTTAATTTTCACTTCACATGGCTATAAAAACACAGAAAAAAAACAAAGATCCAGGAAGGTCTGAAGAATGGTAAAAAAAAGTCTAAAACATATTTGAATTACAATAGTTTGACCATAAAATATCTGCATATATAATTAAGTCATATTTTAAAAAATCTCCTGTTTAGACTACATTAACCAGTATCAGAATCAATCCAAAACTCTCATTAATTTTTTTATGACACAGCACCGTTTGCCAAAAATAGAACATAAATCGCAAGGCAAAAAAACAACAACCAAGCAGCAACAATAAAAACCATTTGTTCAAAGAATTAGGCGAGTGTTTGCACAGTGATTGTACAGTAGTTGCCTGACAGACAAGGGCACCACAGAACACTGACCTGAGTGTGGTGTTCTAGACCACTGAACTTTGAAACTAATAAAAATGGTGTTGCTTATTGTCCAAGAGACAAGATACCCCCCAAAAGGAAAACTGTCAGCTTGCGATTATTGGGATGAGGGAGAAACACAGACCTGTGAGAATCCTCTCCCAATACAGCAGCTCACAAACTCTTTTAGTTATTGCAGTGTTGCAAATATAGTTTCCCCAAACGCTTTTAGAAAACATCAACAACCTTTGTTCATTTTTTTCCCTGTGTGTTTTTTTTAGCAGTGGTGCAACAGAGTCATCAGCAAAAGTCTCTTTAGATGGGTGAAATATTAAATTTACCATGACAGGGACACCTTCATGTTAATAACAACAACAGCAGAAAAAAAAAATCTTTGATCTCCATCCATTCTGGTATATCCAGGATGTAGCAATTTATCACCAGCCAAAAACCCTTACACCCTAATTAATTACAACTAAGTAAAGAATGTTTGGAGAGCCAAATTGCTTTAATTCCCCTTACACTTGGTGAAAGTCATTCATTATCAAATCTGTGCTCAAAGGTTAGTGTGCTAGTGTGAAGACGAAATAAACATTAATTTCAGGCCCTCCAGTGTGCAGATAGAGGAGCAGTTTGTCATGAGACCACACATTAAGACCCTGAGGTTAGGTGGCTGGTTGTTGTTTGCAGTGCACTGGAGAATGGAAAGCCACACTTGAAACAAAAGGTCCACTGGATGGATGTACCTCAAGCAAAAATTACTACTTTTTTAATAGGAGTACATTTCCCTGACACTGTATTCTGCCTGGATTGAATTTCATTTTATATCAGTTTGAGATTACATTATCCACTCTTTTTCATGAATTGATGCAGAGCAATCTTGACCCCTGCCGAACCATTTCAATTTCTCAATGTGAGACCAAGGGGTGCCCACTGAGACTATACTATCCCACTGCAACCAGGATGCCTCGTATTAATAGACTCAGCAGGCACAATGCTTCCGGAGTTGTTTCTGTTGGTTCGTTTCTATCATCTCTAAAACATCACTTCAAATCTCAGGTAGTTAACTCATTAAATCCTCCACATTTCTACCGAAATTTTGAATTACACTCAAGTTTTTTTGTTTTGTTTCACTGTTACTTCACAAATGTAACATATAAAACCCACATTCACGTACAGTCACTTTTTGAAGATGTATTATAAAGGTATAATAAATAAAACCTCCTCTGTTTAAAGAAAAAGTCCGCCGAGACTGGCTCTTATCTGCACATCGCAGATGACCCCTAGCATTTCCACTTCTGAGACCATTTAATATAAAAACTGCTATAAATGCGCTGAAAATATTAATATAAAAGGAGGGTAGCTGCTTTCTGCTGAATTTAAATGATGTACACAATGCTTTAAATCCCTTTCTTATTTGAACTGCCTGCCTACTTTGCAGATACTTTTAGCTGTAATAGGATAAACAGAGGACACAAAAGATTTCTATCTTTCTAGCTTTGCAGTTCCCTTAAAATTCCAATCTCCGCTGGTAATGAAGAGTTCATGAATCATTCATCTTTAATAGATTATGCAAATCTAAGGACATAAAATCAACAAGATCAATAACTGCAGGCATTTTAATTGGCACTAGAAAACATTTTAAGAATGAACATAATCTCCAGCTCTTTCCCCTGTTAAGGCACTATTAATTCAAAATTGGATCCCTGCCTAAATGCAGAAGATAATTTAGCACCTTTTTTGCTTGGCTTCAATTCGGATTGCTTGGGTTTATCATATGCTAGTAAACCATAATATCCTGCTATTAACCAACCCCCAAAACGCTATACCTGATTAAAATACATTGCAGATTAAGTTATTAGTGTCAACAGTCACTAGGGGAAAATCAAGTGTAAAATTTTAAGTGCCAGTGACTGGGCAATAACCACAAATATAAAAACAAGCCCAAGCTTAAATCAAAATCTAATCAATATATTTAAAACTGCAAAAAGACTGCAGAGTTCAGCAATGAATGATTCTGCTATTTATTTTTTATTTGCGCATTTTGGATGATTTAACAACACTAACCTACTGCCAATTAATTTCCCAATTGAATACAATTGCATAGAGCCTTAGGCCCTCTCTTGCTGTTTTACGTAATGTTCCTATGTGTACACCCACACATACTGTATATATTATACACACACTTGTGTATAAGTATAAGAATCTATTCATGAAAGGGTTCAAATATTTTTAAAATATATCTTATTAAAATGTTCTAATTAATTTTGCCACGATTAAATATTTGAAGAACAGCATTACAGTTTAGTTTTTGTTTTCATTGGAAGTTAGGCATCCTTTTGTACCGGTAGACTGACAGGTAACCTTTGCCGGGCCCCTTTAAGGAGAAATACCTCCTTTTAAAACATCCCAGATGCAAACAAAGGCACCTGCCATGAAAGGTCTAAACCAGACTGGGCCTGCTTTGATACAAGTGCCAGAGCACCAAGGACAAAAACACACCTTTCTTCTCACGAGGCCCAGCTTGCTAGGGAACTCTACCTCCCACATATTAATGAGAAAAAAAAGGGATTTCTTTTCCACATAACACTGCATGGTATCGTTTCAGAAGGGGCACTGCAATTTTCAATCATCCTGTCTTCCCCCACGCAAAACTCATTGCCTTTGATGGCTCCTGCATAATTATGTGAATTTTAATAAAACCTCACTGTATTAATCTCATCCCGACACTTGGCTATCAGTAAACGTAACCTTCTTCTAGGTAATAATGGCAACTACGAAACAATATTTCAATTAGCAAGATAGTCATTAACCATGACAGACTGAAAAGTAGGTGTTGCTAGCAGCCAAACCAAATCACTATTAGATGCTTAATAGAGACTATTTCAAGCTTATAACCATTTAAAGAAAAACAATACATACACTGCATACATTGTGTACGCCAGTCTGCAAGAGATTACAATGCACTTTGCCCTTCTTTCAATGCTGGGATACTGTACAATGACTCAAATCATTCAGCCACATGTTCTGGCTTCTAAACAACGGTCTGTCGATTCACAGATACAGCTTTTGATGTCTCGGACCTGTCATACAGCTTTTAATTATAAGAAAGCCTTTTTCACATGATCCATTCTCCAAAATAAAGAGGGGCTACCTTACAGAGCAGGGTACTACAACCTTTCTGATCAGATATTACAAAGGGTCCTTTTCCGATAGAAAAACAACACATTGTAACACTTTCTAGCCCTGTCATGGGTATTAATAAAAGGACACGAGTTTAACAGCAGCAGCAGCAGCTAGATAAGGAGAGATTCCTCATCCCCAGTGGAACCTGCGGCTGGGCAGATGAATGGGAGTGTCCTACCTGTCACTACAGGATAGCTCTGTGACACGTTGGGTCCTAGGTCTGGGTTGGCACTGGCAGACAAGCTGGGCTTCACTTCATCAAGTCCAGGGTTCAGTGCTGGTAGTGAATACTCGTTAGTCTGCAAAGAAGTTTGAGGGATTAAACACCAGCATGAAGTTTTGCGGCAAGAATCGGTTAAAGCAAGTGTTTTCACTCAGCTTTAAAAGTATGGTGTCCAGGAGAATCCGTCAGTACGTATATAATTAATGCACATGTTGGGAATCTCTTTGAGGCAACAAGCAAATCAAAGTGGGATTTTGAAATGAGTGAAAAGACAAGGCGTCAGCTGTCTCTTTGTGCTTCAGTGCGATCATCCCCCTGACCAGTCAAGAGAGGAGACATTGCTGCTTTGTTGCAGAAGCGCACCATGTGGCTTTGTACGAATAATTCACCGTTTTTTTTTTCCTCAAGTTAAATCGGAAATAAGAAAAGAAAATTCCAAATGATAACGCTTCTTAATCCGAAATTCAAATGTGAAATTTCTAATGCCTTTGCTTGTCTTAAATGTTACAGAACACAATCTAGCAAATACATGCTTACTGTTGGTGCAAAGTTAAAACAGAGGAATGCTTTATTCCACTATAACTTGATTCTTTATTTCATCTTCCTGCAATGTTTTTGAAACAAAAATGAAAAAAACAAGGATTAACGGTTGATTTATCTTTTAATCGGCCACTATAGTCATTTTCATGCTGCTGTTGTTATTAATCAAATGTATTTACAGCAGGAGATTGAGGTGGATTCTTTTTTTAAGTTTCTAAATAAGATGGCTACTCTAATATGAGCAGATGTACATTAGTTTTGTCTTTTATTTTAAAAGCCCTCTTTCTGAGCGGTGCTCGTACATGTGGCAAACAGCACCCCAGCCCCCTATGTCTGAGCTGCTCTGGGGGCAGTAGCCCCCTGAGGACCGCCTGTGACCCCAGTCATGTCTGCTTCTATCCCAGATAAACTCTAATTGTCTGCTACAACTGTTCACTGGCACCATTGCGGATGTTGTCTTCTATTCTTAAGGGCTTCAGATGCACAACAGCCATTTTATCATGCAGATAAAGAAGAAAAAACGAAACAACAACTGAAAAGGGAGTTTTGAAAAGGACGGCCAAATGGCCAGCAGAAGTGTGGGAGGGGTGAATCCATTGAGTTTTGCTTCAGCAGAATGGGTTTTTAATGCCTTTCTTTAGACACCAGACACAGGCTAACAGGCTAACCTTTTCATGAGTTAAAATAGAGAAAAGCATCCATGAAAGGGGAAAGTGGTCTGATTAATATTACATTAAATTAAAACTGATTTTTCTGGACTGTTCCAGGTCCTTTTTATCCACAAGACTACCCTTTTCCCTCTTCTTTTTTTAATACTCTCTCTGCTTCTCTTTGTGATTGCAAGTCATTTCCAATTCGTTTTGGTATTGATCTTGCAGTAGAAATCAGTTTTGTAATTAGCTGCAAATTAGGCCTTCTACTAGGGGTGAGGGCTGTCCCCCTGATTTATCACCAGCGTAATTCGCCGCGATTGGAGAGAAATTAAAATGAACTCAATTAGGCGACTGCTTTTGCTTTATGGGTCTGACTTGGAGTTTCAAGGGAAAAATTAATAGTCTCTTGTTGTTTAATAGTCTAATGAAAGTAAATAAAGGTTATCCATTGTAATAAGCTCAGGGCTTAAAATAAAAAAGTTGTACCTATAGGGCTCTTTTTTTTCCTTGTGGATTGTTGGTTGGAGCGCTCCTTTTAATTTTGTCCATTATGATGGATAGCTTGCCATGTTTGCAGTTTTAACATCAAAAGAAACTAAAGGCAAATGTGGAGTTTGATAAGAATCCAAAGCGGAGCTTTTTTTGCTGTATTTACAATTCAGACAACCTCATTTAAATTATAAATCTGGCAGCACAAAATGCCTTGTTTATATCTTAACCATGGCATAACAGTGGAAAAACAACCACAAGAGTTGAGAGACCCACAAAATAAGACAGCAATTCATTACACGCTGTACTTTGTGTTATTTTCAATGATGTCAGTTTGAAGGATCTTATCTTCTAAATCAACAATATGCAGGGGAGGTTTTAGTGATACCCACCACTTTATCAAAACCATGTTATAATGCTGTGATTTGTTTTTTGCTTTTATTTTGTCCCATGTGCAATTCTGATTGCTTTTTAGCCAATACATCAAGAACATCCCAGCAATTAAATTTAATTTTACAGGAAAGTACAGTAGATCCTAAAGTAACATTTCAGGCACGCGTGCCATTCTGTTTCACCAATTACAATAAAGGACATGATTTGGACAAATTGAAGATTGAAGATAAATCGTAGGATACATTGGTATTTGGGTTTAATTAAGGATGAAAAAGAAAGGCGCACATGTTCACCACTGATTTTTTTAATTGAGCTTTTAAAGAGCACTTGCAGAGAATATAGCGAAAAATCTCCCCCAAACAGGCAACTTCTTCACCACGAGGGGCCCTCTGCCTCTTTGCTCATTGCTTCAGTCTGGATAGTACGATACTAACCTGCTCTGGCTTGATGTGCTCAGATGTTGGGAAGACGTCTGGGTACGAAGGCCTTTCAAAGACCCGGTCCAAGGCCTCGAGCTGTTGCTGAGTGAAAGCATCGGCTCTCAGGTGCTTCCGTAAACTGTCCACACTACCCTGAGAGTCACTGTTTGGGCCAGAACCATCTGAGCCATCTACAAGAAGAAAAAGCGACATGCGATTTTCTCTCCCCTGGAAGCTGCGCTCTAGTTCAGTTCACTAGCGTGCCACTTATATGTCTGTCTGTGTTTTTTCGGTGCGCGTTTCAGGGTTTGATAGATTAGATTAGAAATTGGTGCGTGACGCCAGCTCAGATGGATGATGCCACAGACAAATCCTAATGATAGCGAGAAGATGCTGAGTGGTGTTTGTCACCCTCATGCACTCTGCTAGGGTAGTGGCAGTCCCGCCCATCACAGCATTAGCACCAAGGGGCTGTGAGGAGTCTGTGGTAATTGATGGATTACCATCAGCGCAAATACACACTTGCTGGAGAGGTTATGTATTTCAGTGCAACCAGTAGCAATTATGGTGGGCTTTCATTATACATCCAGTTACAGAAGATTTTACTGGAAATCAGGGGCTGTAATTTACAGGTACAATTTCCTTTACAATTTAATACCGCTTTCACATAGAGATTGCTTTTCATTTAGGAAGACGGGGGTTGACACGAGCTGAATACAATTTTACAGCCCAGTCGCTGGTTTAATCACTTCCTGGGAACACATTCACAAAGTATGAGCATTTTCTCTGACTTTTGACCCGATTACCCCGCTATTCCAAGAAGGATACCTTTGCTTTTCCTTTGTCACTTGTGTAAGACACCTTAAACCTCTTACAAACCTCCACCCCCCTTGAAAATGCAGCATCTGTGCCTGCAGCCTCTCTGCTCTGCCGTTTATTCAGGAGGGCTTCAGCTCCCTTACAAATCTGTCATTCTAAATTTGCGGCAGATTATGTTCTCTCTTCAGCGAGAGAGTGGTGATATATGATATGCAAGGCCCCTATTGATTGCCTGATCTGGTGGCAGGAGGCAGCCGAAATGAACTTGAAATGAACATCATGCCTCAACTCATTGTGTGTATAATACTCTACTTAATCCCACATTTTTCTCTGCTATGGAATTCAATTGATCAATCATGTTTCACTGATAGTACCATTTCAGGGCGTTATTGCCATTCCACTCTGCTGCTTGACCTTTTTTCAATGGCTGAGGCCAGAGGATGAACCTGACTTTCATGAAGAACAAAATGTGTGGGGAACTGAATATGAGGCCAAAATAGTCCGCATGTGTGTATGAATTTAACATGTAACTGCTGAATGTTTGGCTCCGATATACCCTGAAATTAATAGGGTATTACACCAGTAACGCATACGTTTAAAGTATATTTTATTTTCAGAAAACAGGTTTGATTAAAAAAGTACCTTTTTTGTATATGTCCTTACAATTAAAAAAGCCTATAGATGCACACATGTCCGCACGATGCGACACACGGTTTAATTACTTCTTCTGTAAGAACTCTTTTGTAGATGTGATATTAAAATCACAGTAAACTCTTCGTGTTCCCCAGAACAATTTGAGCTCGGATCAAACAGCTCTTGATTGATGAGTAGCAATCTTCTCAAGTCCATTTCTTTTGTAATTTTCTGGAACCTTTCAGGGCTGCTGAAATAAACCGTCTTTATTCCTGTTCAGATTGCAAAATTCCTTAAATCGTCTTGTAAGTTACCAGTAATCTTTCACTAAATAAATCATGGAAACAATAAAGAGTTTATGGAACAACTATATATATATATTTATGGATATCATCAGTGCATTTGCATGACAGGATACGGTTATCTTGAAACGGGTCACGTATGTACACACATGGAACGTGATGTGTGTGCGTAAAATATTTGAATCTGAGATTAGGCGAGTACTATTAAAAATGGTTTATTCCTTTCTATCCCATTATTTCCTGTTGGATTGTAGTGTATATTTTTTCAGTATCCTGGGAGCCTGACCACATATCTCTGAGCAGGCGTCTCTTATGGACAGCTCCCTCGGGGGCCTTTCACACCACTGCCAGTTGTTACTGTATCAAACTCAATTGTTCTCTTTGGTACTGAAGCAAATAGAGTCATTAATTACTTTCTATCAGCTGGCCCGAGTACAAAACTCGATCAATAACCCGGCATTTGTCATTCACTATAGTGGAGCATGCTTCCCATACACAAAATAACAAACCTTGCAAGGTTTGCCTACAGAGGTAGCAGCATGGCAGTAGCAAGATCTTGTGGAGGTTTGAGGTTGTCTTCTTTCTTTTTAGTTGTACTAAAAACCCATTTCAAATGCCCCGTTTTACACAGGTTAGGCTCCCCTCACATTTTACTAAAATCTGAGCATTACAAAGCTGTATTTTGTACAAACCTAACTGATCCTCCTTGAAATATATTTCATAATGTTAAAATGCATGTGCCATGGTTAGTTCTGTTATTACCAACATCAGAAGAATTGTGTCTTGCACATGTAAATCAAGAGGACCGAAACTGTTATTGAAACTACAATGAAAACCAAGAAAAAGGCTACAACAATAGTTAATGACAGAACGCAGAAACAGAGAATTGAATTTAAAGGAAAAAAGTGCATCCTTCTGAAGCAGCTTTCTCAGATTAGCTGCGATGCAATATTAATTAACTCTAATCAGGATAACTCTGGGCTCTATATTTGAACAAGCCTCCCTCTGTGATGTTTTGTTGGTATTTTATTGATCATTGTCACACTTGAGTGTATTCATTTTGACATCTCTCAGTATTAACACCCCAGTAACAAGGGACCAGACTCTATCAGATCAGATAACCAGCTCTATAAAACTGGCTCCCCGGGCTTCACACCCAGGGGTCACGACCCCTAGCAGGAGGTGGACTGGCACAATTCTGTACTTGAGAGTGCTTGTCATGTACCTGCATTAGAGAGCAGACAAAAACTGTACAAGATAGTACCCTGAAACACCCATGTGGTATTCTCTCTGTTTTGTCCGCTTTTTGTACACGATCCTCAAGTGAAACTTGTTCCTTAAAAGAAACAGAAAATCTGAAACTGAAAACAGTGCACATGTTTTCAAGCCTGTGAGTAGCCTGTCTAAGCCAGACAGGTGTTGCTTTCTCTTCTAACTGAAGGAAACCATGTTTCCTTCTTTCATCTCATCCTCTTCCTGATAACATCTTATCACAGAAAGTGAAGCTTTTTAAAAGCCTAATTAGGCTTTGTTAATTCATTGATCTTTGTTTTAATTTAGTATCTGTGAATTCTCTAATCAGGTGTGACATCTTGTTCACCGTGGGATCCTGCTGGTATTTGCTTTACGACTGGCAGAGTCTCAGGGAGGTGAAGAGATGCACTCAGGGTCACACAAGTTCTTAGCTGCACTGTGTGGTTTCAGGGCAAACGTTTAGACTTTGAGCAGAAGTCAGTTCACGTTACAGCAGTGCACTGCAAAGCATTGTTTAACTAAAATATGGTCTTTTTCACTGTGTCTGAAAATAGGCAGATTGGCATATAATTTCACCATTGTTACCAACTGATAAAAAAACACAAAATAAAGAAATTAATTTCATTTTTAAATAAAGAATGTATTTTTTTAAATAAAAGATGATATATTAAATCTCCAAAGGGATTATTCCATTTGCAGATTTGTGCCCTAAATGTACTTATTGGGAAAAGATATAATACTGTGCATACTGCTCAATTTCAACTGCCTACAGTACATGTACATCTGCCTATGGTTTCCTTTTCTCCTGCTTTATAAATTTAGTCAATGAAATCACTGCTTCAGCACCTGTGAGGAGAGCCCTAGAAGGAGCCATCGTAGCAGCACAGGATGCAAACACTCACGTGCATTCAACTACTGGGAACAGACACCTCCACTCTGTTTCCCTAACTATGCTTGTTTTGAGAAACCATGCATTTATGAAACCCGTGGTGCAGAAAGGCTGTACTGCAAACAACTGTATCAAAAGAGGTGGCAGCAAAACCAGGGCTATTAATTTCATGTTACGTTTCTGCATGTTGACGGGGTTTATTAATTTAATTTTATCATGCCGAACAATGCACTGCCTGACAGTGGTGAGCAGGATTTTTTTTTTTTCCTCTTCCTCGTTCTCATCTACCCACATGCATGATCGTGGTGTACTCCATCATTTAGTGCTGCTGCCTTGGTGGTGCCGTGTTCTGGAACACAATTAATGCATTTTTTTTAAGCTGGTATCGCATCGCTCCATTAATTCTCAGCATCAGTGCCCATAATTGACTTTTTTTCTGACATGATTTCTCTTTATGTGAAATCCTTCCTTTTATTTTTTAGCGTTCCACGGATCCGGCGGTATCATTTACAGCCAATCAGGTTGCTTAATGACACGTCTTGTTGAATGCAGATGCACCTCTGAGTGTGACAGGAAAGGCCGTCAACTGTTTATGGGTTTTAATGTGTTCGATACAGCCGTGGAGCTTTCTGACACAATATTCCACCAAATGCCAAAAAAACTAAAAGTATTTTTTTATTGTTGTTGTGTTTTACCGAGAAGCAATTACATCAATAAAATCAGCCCGATCTGAAAGGTTTACAATGCCTAACTGATTAGAGCAGTTTTAATAATGGTTTACTCGGTGTATTACTGTTCAAGTTGCTTGCAACAGAGACTTTTGGCAAACATTTACTTCTTTCATTACTTTCTTTACATTCATTTCTTTAAAATCATCTGCAGTCACTCAGAATATTTAGTAAGCTTTTATGTGAATTAATTGGGTTGTTGAAGTTGGCTTTTTTTTTAAAAAGAGAAGGAAATTAGAAGTGGCACCCCTTGTTGTATCTGCATAGGTGAACAAGCATCATGCATCTGTGCGAGTACCAAGCACAGTTTCTGTAGGGGCTCTTCTGTTTCTGTACTATGCTGTCTCATTGTTATTTCTTCATAGTGTGTTAAAGAACTTTTCTTGTAAATAGAACCCTAGAGTGACAAACGATTTTTCACATACAAATTAGTCCTTGTAATGCTAGGAAACACAGTATATGCTGTATTTATTCAAAATTCTCATAGTTAACATGGGGGTTGAATTCACATTGTGTTTTACAGCGACTTAAGCACATCGATATTTTGAATATAAGGCCCGGATTTCTAGATTTGGACATTTGGATTCTATTCATGCATTGCGGGCATGAACTTGGAGTCCAACATTGCAGAGATGTTTTATTCTAGACATAACTGTTGTATCCTTTCAATCACATTGCTGTTGTCTGACCTGGACATTCTACCTCTTATATCAACCCTGTGTCCCATGCCTCCCCCTCAACGGGCTAGCTCTTCAAGGTGTCAAGACCTTTATTTTTGTGCATGTTATTTATTACAGCCAGCCTCCACCCACATGTCCTGGGAAGGTAAAAACACATTGGAAGCCTTTCAGAGCCCACATGTGAAAGAATTCCAACAGCTAGGTCATTGCAACCAGCACACTTCAAGTCATTAACCTTACGTCTAGCGCAAAATCAGATCATCATTCTTTACAGCACGCCTACATAGCCATCCTACTTTTTAGATATAAACGAACATGTGCAATTAAACACCTTTCTCCTTTCAGACAGTTATTGTTTCTCTTTACTGGATTCCAAGAAAATATTTTTTTTACTTCTTCTTCCACCTCAAATGGTACAATCAAGGTGAAAGATTTTGATCTGTAATTCTGTTACAGTGGTTGGATGGAAAGCCATTGACTGGAATTATTTTTCTTAGGTTGATCAGTCTGCTGAAAAGATGAATGCAGACAAAAGTATCTCTCCTAGAAAAGTACAGAAACTGGTGTCCTTACTTAATTTCAGAGCCTGCATTGAAAAGCATGGATTTTCCATCGGATTTTTCCCTCCCTTTGATATTCCCTGAAGCTGATGTAACTTTCATGGTCGTGATTGTTGGATAATTTGGAAAAACTACATACACGAAAAACTGACGTGCTATGTTGAGACATGACCCTGTTAAAGAATTTCTTGATGTTCTTCTGGGATGTAGTGTGACATTTCTGTCTTTACCATTAAGTCAACAGACTTGACAATTTTGGCAAAAGGATTACAGTTGTGCTGTGAATTTTAGCCATGTACTCGAATGACCTTTTGAACCAAAGCTGTTATTCTTCTGTAAAGATCTGGATCTACCGATTAGCATTCCTGAAATTAGATAACCTGCGCTAATCCTGCAAGAGCAGTGCCAAAAGTTAAACAAAAAAGTTAAATCAAAATTCCAGTAATTCACTGTGTGTTCCTGTTTTTGCTCTTATTCTGTAAATAAGTAAAAGCGGTCAAGTCAAAACAATACCTCACCCAAACTTAATTTTCCTGGCCTAGTTATGTGTCCGACAGGCAATATCATTCTGTTTTACATAATGAGATACACGACGAAATCTAGCTATGGATTCAGGGCCTACAATGGAAGCAATAAGTGGAGGCACATACACGGATGCAGAAGTAATTGGTTTATATATCTGCAAGCAGTGATACCAATCTTTACACAGATAGAACTGAAGCCCAGTCTTCTCCTCTAGGCTATTTCTTTTGTCTTTTCAATAGCTTGCACATCCGAGAGAGAGGGGAAAAAGGGAGGGGGGGGGTGGTGTTAATTTGTGAATTAATAGCTTTTCTCTGCGGAATTGCAAATTCTCTTAAATGTCACTTGTACAACGTGCAGGGGGCTATCCACCAAAGAAACAATCATGAGAACTATTCCCCCCACCCGACTTCTACTGCCAACGCCACCAATAGCCGCCAAGTGTAACATGCTACTTTTAATTTGCAATAACACATGACAATGGCAGATTAATGGCTCTTATGACACCTGTGTCCCTGAAGCTCCTCTTCCGAAGACCTGGTGTACATAACGTGTGTCACACTACATTATCTCAACATCCTTCTTTTAATGGGTGCCTTTTTTAAGGGCACTGCTGACTTGGAAGTTACAGTAGGAGATACAGAAACTCAGACTCCAGATCCTGTTGTGAGTCACATCAGGGTTAAAACAAGTACTTGTCTTCAGACTTGTGACTACATGGGCTACCAGTCTACCGCAATATTAACATACGTTGCTGCATCTGACTAGGTTTATTGCCTGCTTTGGTACATTTGTGTATATATTTTTAAATAGCTGTGCATTTTTCAGTTATTAATATCTAATCAAGCTGAGATATAGCAAGCCAAATGAGGCTCAGGCAGCCTAAGGCTACAGTAGCACTATGAAATTTAAACCATGTATTAGCTGTCGTACAGCCTCCCTGATGTCTCTGTGTGAAATAAGGACTAAGTTTAAATAACACATAGCTTTTTAGACAATTGGCAGGGTCTCAAATAACCAGTCATGAAGTCTTCATTAGGGCCTTATTATTTAAATAGTAAACAGTTCGAAGCAAAGGTAGAGGTACAGTGCATAATTTAATACTCACTGTTTATTACAAACCTGTCATCTAAAAACATTTCATTTCAGAATTACAGTGTTTCCAGACACTTAATGGTGGAACAATTGCACTGTATTTTTTTTAATCTATTTGTGTCTTTATTATACCTGTTTTAAAAGGAATGGTATGCTGCAGCATTAGGACTAATATGAAGTATGATAGGATATACCATCCTTTTCATTTTATTGCTTTTCTAATGACAAAAATAATATCGGTAACATAAGTATTTTTAGTGATATGCGCACCCATTTTTAAATTATTTATTCTTGTAATTATGCATTATAACTTATTGTCCATAATCATTTTGTAGGATATATATTTAATTTTTAAAAAACACTATTTTATTTTCCCTCCGTTTCATTTTCATAACTAACAAAACGGTAATCGCAGATCGCAGTTATAGCAGATTTAGAAACAAACCGCTTGTGGAAAGGTTAAAACAGAATAATCCAACATTGTGTGGGTATGTGTGGAAGGGACCTATGCAATGTGCTGTTAATCTTCTAATATGTAAATTGCTGCTCAGAGGGCAGTGCTGTTTCATAGACCCAATGTGCAGAATGCTTCAAGCAACAGCGTTTTGAAAAATAAACTGATCTCTATTAGTGATCCACAAGGGAGACCTTAAACTGATTTCTGAACTGAAATACCGCATCCACATGCTTTTCAGTCAGATAGGCTATTTCACTGCAGCTTTTAGAAGAGGCAATTGTTAAATAAAACAATCTAAACACTGCATAAAAATCGCTGCCTTCCGTATCAGCAGATTCCCCACAATGCAGGCCAGGCACTCAAATCGAGGAAAATTGTTAATTAAGGTGAGAATGTGAAACACAAAATGCTGAGGAAACCTGTGGTGTGACATCGAGCAGACCTCAAAAGCAACAGCCATCCGCTCTCTGAAAAAATTCCGCACCTCCTTTCCGAATGCCTTTGTGAGTCTTCGCTACGTCAATCTCAATCAAAATACGGGCTGAGTTACACTGAAAGATTGGCGTTTGACTAGGTACATACTAATCTCCCCTGCCATTCACCCTCTGACCAGTGTACCTCCCTTTGAGGTTAAAGAAAGAGAGCTTTATCAGTTTCAAAGCAGTACATACATTTTTACAATAACTGTTACTAGTCTTTTGGCTTTGGCTGCTGCATTACTGTATGCAGAAGACTGTTTTCAGGTGATTGACCACAAGGCTTTCATTAGTCCTAACTTTTGCATGATACACCCACCCTGTTTCTTCTGACTCACAAAACACTGTTCTCGTCCAGTCTCTGCGACTCTCCGATTGTCCGGGCAAAGCGAATGTGAGCAAATCCAACTTATAAAATCATGTTTTTCTTTCCCTGCATGGTAGCCCACTCCAGAGAACTAAACATATGGGAAAATGAGAAGAATCAAGTCACCTGCTTTGATAAATGGTGGTTTAAGAAATAATTTCCAGCTAGATCTGTTCCTTGTGCTATTCTGGCATTACTGCATTTCGTGATTTTTCACCAGGGGGATGTTTATTCAATAGCATTAAAAAGCCTATTGCTTGCAAAACCAATAATCTATAAGCCCTCAGGCTGCCTGTATCCCTCACTCACTCAAAAAAGAAAAAAATCATTCCACTTGGAGCTACTGAGTTGAAATGTCTTCTACATCAGCAGTGCTTTCTCTGGCTGACCTGGGTGGTTGGCTACATCATCTTGACATGTAATTATCCTAACTCTTCTTAATCATTTCAGCTAAGATTAATTGCTGAAGACAACACTGACATACGTGGAGGTCAAGTCTTGAAATAAAAAAGAACTCTCTTCCTCAGTCTTCACTATGCCCTTCTTTTGAATTGATCAAGGGATGTGATAGTTCTCTTTCACACAGCCTCAGTACTCTCTGCTAACTTTTCTCATAGGAGCAAAATTAGCGACTATTTTTTAAAACTATTGTGACCAGTGACTATTGGCAACTATTTTTGGTCATTTGTTTGAATAATTAAATGATCTTGTAAAACTTTTATTCTTCCCTGCATTACCTAAATGGAAAATTGAACAATTACATACTGAATGTGAAATAAGAAATATTCTGTAATTACTCTCTGTGTCCCTTGATTTCTACATGCGCCTGTATGCAGATTGGATTATATTGCCATATACAACAATCAATGCAGGTATGAGAGCACAGTATTTAATATGATAATGCAAAGTAGATTCACTTAGATGAGATTTCAAATGTTTGAGTGCCGCCTCCAATTATCCTTACGCTGGTATTCCATAAATGCATGTTCAGATCTATGAAAGTGCTTTTTTAGATCGATTCTTGGCCAACAGTGATCTCTGTGCATGGAAGACCATTGTCTCTGGTAAACAGCCATTAAAATAATCCCTCCATGATGCCAAACAAAGAGTGCCGCTGCCTACTAATTTACCCTTCCTGATGTATTATATTGCATGGAATCAAGACACCAAGTTAAAATGAAATACTAGGTAAAGTTAAATATATCTGTGGCCTGACTGACAGGCTCCATCCAGGACTCTGTATACGCTATGACCCCAAGAAAAGCAGATGGCAGGCACATGGGTCCCACAGTCAGAAATGCTAACCTTCTCTACAGGTGAAGAGACATGAAAAAGCTTTAGCACCCATTTTCTTACCATCGTCTCGTTTCCTCTTTTCACCGTTGGATCGGGGAATACCCAGAATGCCATTGATCGAGTAAGACCCCACTGGATCGTTGGAAGCACTGGATACGGGCGGCGATGTCGTGCTCGGTACTGAGAAACAGGAAGGTTACAATGAATATAACTGAAAAGGTCACAATCGTATCAGAGATAGCGCTCTTACAAAACCGATCTTTCGGAAGGTTGGAGGAGTACAACTTTGTGAACCCCCGTCTGAAAAAGTAAGCTTCTGAGTCTGACTCAGATAATCTGAAACTTTGCTTTATTCTAGAAGGTTCCAATTCATTACAAGATTTGGACAAGCTAACCAGATTTTTGATGAGGCATGCAACATGGAGTAGTATCATCCTTACTAAGTATGACATTTGCTTCTCATGAGTAAACTACTCTCTGGATATGACTTGATGGATTAGAGCATCTTTCAAAAACAGTAAATCTTGCGCCTTTAGCACACAGATAATGGGCAGGCTCTGGAGTCATTTTGTTGTCTGGGTTCTCTAGCTTCCTTCACCAGTCCTTGACCTGTCCACTTTACACCTCTGCCTTGTTATTAGTATATTTAAGTTTTCATCTATGATTCATGCTCTACTGGATTGCAGATCCTACTTTTTTGAAGACAGGTCTTTTTTTTACACAAATGTGTCATGTGTCACAAATTCAGCAAAAAAATATAATTATAAAAATCATAAGTGGTGCTTGGCATTTGTAATCAGTTTCCCATTATTTGCTTACCTATAGTGTGGCCAGGTGTTGAGAGAGGTGTTCCTGTTCCGTCAGGAGATGGATGGAAGGGCTGCTGAACTTTGGTACGTATAATCCTGCACAACAGATACACAACTTAATTAGATTTCTTTGCCCTCTTACCTTTTTAATCTAACATAGTTAATGCACCAATCAGAATTATCTCTCCATGTACCAGTGTGCATGTTTTTATTTAATCGTTTATTTATTGAGGGCAGCACGGATACATGCAGTGCAGGCTTTCTTGTGTGCGTCCTTTCTGTTAATCATCATGGTTTTGTGCGATAGCGAAAACAGTAATTCAATGCACCAGTGAGAAAGGCTGAGTAGAAACTATCCGTGAGAGTATATCATATCAAATTTAATTCCAGAATTCAAAGGGGGAAAAAAAACTGCGCCTTTAAGGTGAGATATGGGGAAAGTCTTCATTGCACTTTGGTCTGAATGATCTTGCAAACAAACCATGAAATCACATCAATTCACCTCAATGATCAGCTTCACTGACTCTACCTGGCCCAGACTAATCAGCTCTCTCCTCCTCTCTCTCCCTCTTTCTTTCTGGAACATTTACAGGAGTACCCGAGACTCTTGGCTTCTCACTTCCCAGATCAAACATCTCTGTATAACTCAACAGCCCCAAGTGCCAATGCGGATGAGGTTCTATTGATCAGGGCTTGGGGATAAAAAGTTGGGGATTAGTCACACGCAAACAGATGCAAATGGAAAGCTATAAATTATATGTGACAGGAAAGCAATAGTGCCTTATTGCTGTGCACAAGCTTGCTCCAGCATTAGATTCCTTTAATCTGAATGGCATTTTAGAAAAAAGAGGTAGCTGCCACAATAATTTGTAAACTTTGAAACTATTTATCACAACTGACATAGTATCCATTTGCTGAGTTCAAATTTTAGAAGTAGAAGAAAACTGAAAACCTTCTAATAAAGGCTTTCATGACTTTGTGCCTAGGCTGGCTTCACTGCTCACTATCGTCTGTGGAAGAATATGAATGATAAAAAGAGATTATTTAAGTCTTTTTGAGAACATTTGTCCATTTAGTGCCTAAATGAAGGGGATGACTATGGTTTTCCTCTTCTATAGAGGTAAATAACATGCTTTAGGCATAAACAGTAAGGTAAAAATATTTTAAATGAATGATTTGAAAAGATTGTGCTCCTATGATACCATAGATGGTGTTTAGCTCTTTTAAAGCTATTTTGTAAAATGATCCACTTGCTTGTCAGCACCAGGCAGCTAAGAGTTAATACCCAAAGGAGTTTATATACATCAAACCTCCATTGATCTCAATGACTTAGGCAGCCTCCAATCTCCCCCAATGCACTGTCCTTGGGGCAAGGCGACAAAAGCTACAAGCCTTTTCTAGAAAACACATATCAATATTTTATCTGGATTTTTAACTTCCCTCCATAACAATTATTTGACCCCTTGACTCGTGTGAGTCACATAAATTCAGGGACTTTATTTGGAATCCATGTTCTTGATATTGAATAAGCAATTTGGGAGGGTGAATTAATGACTTCAGCTGTTGCTGAAAATTCCCTGAAGAAATATTAAAATTGCTTTGAGTCTGAATCGATACCATTGAAAGCCATTGAGGACCTTGGGTTTTTTAATGTCTACAAGCAGGTACTTGGTGGTAATTCCTTGCAGCAGCTCAGACACAAAGTACACCCTCATCCCTGTGTAATCTTTAATAATTCATGCAGGAAAAAAGTGTTTAAAGCTAGAACATCCTCTTTTGTCAACAGACCTGCGGTCAGTTTCCTTACAACATAAACCCAGTGGTGGATTCTCTCTTTTCTTATGTCTAATTTATGTCAGAGACTCAAACCTCTCTCCACTGTAATACTGTATCAGCTTGTTAATAGATATCAGCCTTAAAGTGACTTTCCCTGTGTTGGAAGATATTCAGACTGGATGTGTTCGATGTACAAACACAGTTTATTTCTTTTTCTACAGCAGTCATGCAAAGGACAGGAAATCTTAGGTTACGTAGTGTACATGCCTGTACAGTGCATTGCATATTTTATGTCTAATTTTGCATTGATATACAGAAAAACAGATATATTTTCATGCTTTTTTGTGATAGACATACTTTTGTTTCAGAACAAGAGTTGATATTTTTATTTTTATTTTACTCTGTATATTTTATATAACACTAATGCATTTGTCACATTGTTTTTTATACAACACTGATTTATTATTCATTTACATTCACATGGGGTTTTCATCTTTTAGTTGTTACACATTAACTATTGATAAAAAGATACCTGAAACTATTGATTAGTCCTCTAAACTCATTACTCTCAGCTTTTAATTTCTCTTAATTTGCAAATAAACACAATAATATGCTGTCTGGTACAAAACCAGCTTTTGAAGATGTGCCTGGATGTAGGGTGGTTCCTTAAAGTTTAATATCTAAAACAGTACACGACACAGGAACTCAGAATCTGCTTACACAAAGAGAAATATTCAAATCTAGCTGTTTTGTAGTCCTTTGAAAAAGCACCAAAAGATCCTTCAACTTCCTCTGGTAATAGAAATAAATTTCTTTGTATTTGCATTTTAATTTCCCACATAAACAAAGGCCCATAGAGTGCTTCTATTTCTAAATCGCTCGCTTGAATTTAATTAGAAATGAAAAGTTTATAGGGGTCTTTTAATACGATTAATGTACATTTTAAATTTATCACATACATGTGTTGGAACCTGCTCAAATTGCCCTTTTTTAAGCAACCATGGTGCATGAAATGAATTTTTTCAACCTTTCTATTTTTTTTGTAGCTGTCTTGTGTGAGGCTGCCCATGCTCTCCAATCAGCTCATTAAAATGTAATGCTGATGCCAGCTCTATGGAAGACTGCCTCCTAAGCAAAGTTCATTACTTGTGTTCCTGGGTAGGGGGTTTTCTCTAAACCATGTTCTTTTCCCTTTTCCGTCTTCCCCCCTGCTCACTTACTTTGCTTACCCTTGTATCCTCCCTAGTAAGAGATGAAGGTTTAGATGGGATGTGCTGTTAATGTTGTTTGCTTTCGTTTGTTAAGGGGTGTATCATCCAACAGAGTAACAGGCTACAGCTTTACAAAGGATTTATGAAACCCTCAAGCACAGTAATAAATGAATAATCTGTGTATTCATCTTTCTGTAACCCATCTGACATATTGTGCTGTACATGTTAATAAATATAGAAATACCATCATCACCAAAACTCATATGCCTGCACATCCACTACTGTGAGTTTTTCATGGAACTCTTTATTTTACTGGATTGATCTCGTCATTCATGAAGCATATATATTAATTTAATATTTCTTTGACAAATCTCGCCCTGTATGGTCCTGTTCAGAACAGAGATTTAAGCTTGAAATCCTAGCAGAAAGTAACCCACCTCCGCCCCCATCTATTTATCTCACACTTTAGAAATGAAAATGTAAAGCACTGTAGCGTTGTTGATATGATACAGGATTTCATAAATACACACTCGCAGTTCTTATATTGTAAAATGGGTAAATCGAGCCTTTTTAGATGTTACAACCATGTCCACCCTCTCTGCCAAATACCAAAATTAAAGAAACTGTTCATTATTATTTTTACAGGTTAGCGCATGAATTACAGCGTTTCCTTTCCCCCCAGAAACAGTACATGTGCTCTAGCTGTGAATCTCTAAGCCTTTTAAATTGAAATAGCCGACACAATACTCTCGTTATGTAATGCACTGTGACTACCCAAACCGGCTCTTCCGCCTTTTTCAAACTACGAGGTTTTGCGAAATCTGTTCACAATGAAGAAACTACGTTTTCGAACACATTAGGTCTAGTATTGAACTTTTGTGTTGAGTATTTCCCGGTGGCAGTGGATCTGCTTACAAACTATTGATCGGTTTTCATCCAGACAGATGTGATTTTGGTGCGCTCAGCTTCAGATTCAGTGCTGTAAAGGCTGATTGTTGAAGGATTTGGGATTGAATTACACCACAGAGACCACCCTCGATGAAAAACTAAATACATTCGATATATATATATAACGTAATTTACCTTTTTATTGAGAATGTTGTTACTTAATGTTTTTTAAGTTTGAAACTTCAACACGAACAAACAGACTTGATTTATTGATTAATGCTATCAAATGAGAATGAGATGAAATAGCATCTTCAGACAACATATATGACTTTCAATTACAGTTAATAATATTCTCCATATTTACTATTAGGTCTTGATTCTTTGGTCTGTGCTGCTTTGTTTAAGCCTTCTCGTAGGTTAATTTGATTGTTGATCGACCTCTTCAAATGTGATAAAGATACTGAATCTCAAACAGAGATACTAATGAGAAATATATATTCCGAAAAACTTTCAGTTTTAATGAAAACGTTTGAAATGGTTTGCCTTTGTCCTACAGTTGACGCTACAAGACGGTAGTTTCATTTTTCCATAAATCGATGTCGAACTTCCCATCAAGCGATTGAAAAAATAATTTCTTTACGTTTTTCCCCGCTCTTCTATTCTACCACATAAAAACGTTCATTACTAATCGTTGCCCGTTTCTTACTAGACCCGGTTTTCTTTTTATTCAATACAAAAACTTTAATAATTATCTAAAAAAATGTATTTTAAGAAAAACACCTTGATTGACTAATAGAAATCATAAATGTGATTTCTAAAGATATCGGGATGTTATATATATTACATTATAAAGGTCTAGATTGTTCTTGATCTGACATTAAATACCATTAAAAGAGGGTTCTGTTTCTTTTTTTGTTACGAAGAAAATAAAATTGACATGCTTATCGATATAACTTTAGATACAGTTCAAATTGGCAAACATTGGCATGATGTTGCTGAAAATATAATTAGCTTGAATTTAGCGCTAAAAGCAGCGGTTTCGTAGCATATATATTTTTACCTGTTGATGGACGACACACTGGGGACTGTATCATTGTCGCAAATGCCTTCTGCCAACAGTCTGTCCCTGATCTCCCAGGCGAACATGGTGGGATTCTGGCGCTTGTATTCTGCGATTTTATCCACTACTTTTGGAGTTGCTACCTTTGGTTTGGAGCCCCCAATTACTCCGGGTTTAATGCTGCCGGTCTCGTAGTATCTGCAACAACATCAAAAATAACAACAACAATAATAATAAGAATAGTAATAATGACTGATTACACAATATATATACGTAGAGCGTAAAGATCCTTGACTTAAAATTTATGGGGTTCAATAATTGCAGCCAGGTATGACATACATTTTCGTGAAGGTACATTTTTATCACTTACAAACTTCTCCAGGGGGCGATAGCAGGGGATAGTACACATAAACTGTCAAAAGTGTTGCTTTTTTATATAAATATATATTTTACAAAAGGTCAATAAATAGTGCGCTGATCCGAAGTAAAGAAACGTAAACTTCGATCCTAGGAAGTATTGTCACACGTGCCATTGTTACAAGGCACCCGGGGACATCAACACACAGTTTAACAAAATACGAAAGGCATTTTTCCTTTCTTGAATATTTTTAATGGCAACATTTCTACATCATGATATGTAGCTTACGAATGGTACACATTATGAGACTTAATCTATCGGCTGCAGTCATAGAAATGATTAAAACTATGTATATCATACGATTTAAGAAATGTACCCAATGGTTTCAACGCTATTTACGGCTCATACTAACAACAAACTTGAGAACATGCATTTAAAAAGTACACATGCTACCAATTTTAATAATATTTCAGAACACTTTTGTGAGAAACATTCCAAATGCATAAATAAAATACCTTTTAAAATCCGTCTGATAGCTGAAAAATATTTCAAAAACATTCAAACTGCCATATATAACATGATACCAGCACAACACCGATTGTTTTATTTTCCTTTTCTGGTGAGTAAAGTGGGGATCACAAACAAAAGTACAAAGTTTTGTGGTTGAAAAAAATCGTGGTTGTAATTTTTTTCAGTTGTGTTGTACAGTATTACTTTATTCTGTACGAAATATTTTCATAATTTGTCTCGTTTGTGCCCTTGATAAAGAGGCTTAGATTGTGACAGAAAATATTCACTTTATTCTAATGGTTAGGCGACCCTGCGTTTTTTTTCCTTTTCAGGTCCAGTACACCCGCCAGATCTGCGTCTGTTGGGAACTTTCAACCGGACGCTGAGTCACCTGCGACCACCTTCGGCCCCCGTGAATTTACACGGTAGTTTGTGAGTGTGTGTCTTCTACTGAAAAGAGTCGTACTGTTCATTCAGCTTCAACAAGAAACGAGACTCAACCATTTAATAGAGGCTTCCCCAATAAAGTTTATTTTCTTCACACCACATGACAAAGTTTGGTTATTTACTCGCGCGCGCCCGCGCGCACGCCACCCACAAAAAAAATAAAATAAAATAAAATAAAATAAAGTTTGACTGCAAAACTCGTGGCGCGGTTGTGTCGTCTCTCACCTGCCAAGAATCTTGCTGACACAGCCATGGCTGACCCTCAGTTGTCTGGAGATATCACAGGGCCTCACCCCCTGATGGGCGAGCTCGACAATCCTTTGCCTCACCACATCAGGTAAGGGTCTGCCGTTCACAAACACCCCGCCTAGCTGGTTCACACCCCCATGCCCTGCGCAGGAGACAACACGCACAAAACACAAACATGACATTACACACGAGGAGGTGATGCAGAAGAACTCACAAGGAGTTGCCGTAAAACAGAAAAAAACAAAACAGAAGAAAATCAACACCTTACTGTCCTTACTGTTGCTGGCAACTAGTAAAACAGACAGGAATAAAAATACAACAATTCAAACAGTATCAACGGGCCTGAAATTCTTGCGTTCTGATATTACAAAGTTGCCACATTATGTGTGTCAGTGCAAAAAATAATAATAATGGTTTCTAGTTTCATTTAATAATGATTACATTGTTTTCTGTTTTTTAATCTAAGACGGGATTCACCTTACGAGCCCAACACAATTTTAAATCACAAAACTGTCCACACAATCATTCTTCTATTTATATTTTGAACGCCTTTCATATTGTTGTAGGTTCTAAATGATACAGATTGATCTTTTGCATCTAGGACGAATTTTAGAGGTTTCGTGTTTCTGTATTATAATTTTCGAGCAAAGTTGTGTATTACTTGATATTGGCAGTCCATACTGTATTTTGACAACAGCCTATACGCAAGATTTAACATGGTATAGCATGAACTGTACACTGGTAATGTCTTTAAAAATTGTTTATAAAATGCCCCTTTTGGTTTTAGTTTTACTGCAAGTCTTTATGATATCCATACACGAGCTTATTTTTGAGAACGAGCAACAAATAACATAAAAATTATAAATTGTTTTGCATAAAGCCAATTTTAATTTAACTCCGACCATTAAATGTATTTCGCTTCATAGGTAATCAGCTTTTTACGATGACTAGTGCCTAGAATTAAAAATAAGCCAACCACAGAGTGTTTCTACTCTTTTCAATAGACTGCATTTTTAATATTATATTTTCATGCTACATGCTTTGCTTTTAAACTGATACACAGACTCTGGTCCATTTTATAACTTGGGCACATAATCCCTTCTCGTTTTCGAGGCCTTACTGAAAATATGATCAGCACACTTACTGCCATGCATGATATTCTCTGTTTACGTATTTTAATCAAGAGATATTATTTAAATTGACTATTTTGAAACATAAAGCAAATACAAAAATATGCTACTAACTCATCTCACAACAAAGTAATATAACGGTAATAGCACTGATGAGTTTTATTTCTTACTGTTCAAACGCAACCCAGCACATGTCGTAGCTATTAGGTTACAAGCCCTTTAATTTTCTCTGCACATTTATTGTAAATAATTAAAAAGAGCTTTGATAACTCATATTACAGATTATTTAGCAAAGGCATGAGGAAAGAATTAGAAATGAATTATTTAAAAATGCAGGTAAGCCTGTTTTCTTTTCGAATAGCCCAACAAAAAGCATTATGACTGAATATTGTTACAATCTCCATCTTTCTTTTTTCTCATGTTTTAAACTTCATACAAGTTCTTTTTGTTCGTAAAATAATGAAGAGAGCAAATTTCAAAGGAATTAAATATTCTCTTATACGTAAACATAGACACCCATACACGCTGACATTCGCGTCTTTGCTTATGGTGTGTATATTCGTTAAGGATTCTTAGTCGTAGCCTATTTGAACGTTTCGCTTTTCATCTATTAAAATAAATGGATACATTCCTTGCTTCTGAAGGCACGACTGTTAAAACATGGAAATCCCGCTTAAATGCAGGTATTTAGGAAATGTACTTATTTGGAAGATCAAGCCGGAAATTGCAGTAGCGCATCATTTAGAATTTTCCCGGACTGTAAACACATACATCGTTTAAATTATAGCATTTAAACAACAATTAACATCTAACAAATCCAAAGCCGGAGAGTATAAATAATATTGCGAATATCACATGTTTCATGGAAGATTTTACATGATCGTTCCTCCATTTAGCATCTGTGGAGAAACTCCGTATAAACAGGCACACATTTAGCCACGCGACGTCTTTAATCGAATCAACATGCTATTCCGCCACACACACTGACAGTACAAATGTATTTTGCGGTCACAGTCCTCGTCAGCAACAATGATAGCTACAAAAAAATCAACATGCGTAGGTACATAGTATTTATGTATTTAAAACTCTCTCTACTCACGGTGCATCGCGGAGAACGGGTCTGCTTTGCAGTGAATATCCATGGGATAGCAAAGAAAAGAAAGATAATCAACTGAAGTCGCCGTTTCGCCTCGTTAATGCAGCTTAAAATTTAAAAGAAACGAAACAAATTCTACAAGACGGAAGAAAAATAGGCTGTCTGCTTCCGACACCGATCGATCGGAAGGTAACTTCTTAAAAAAATGAAAGGAAAGACGGAAAAGTTGTTCTCTCGCGTTTATCAGTCCTTGCAACGAAGATAGGAGGGAGGTCTGTCAGGTGAAGAACATGACCGATACTTGTTTTAAAAACGTATTTTGCCTCAAAATTCTCACAAAAAAAAAACCGTGGGTTTTATTAAATAGCTTTGGACCACATAATGACGAGGTAAGAAGCGTTGCTCGGCTCAAGGAGTCTTCCCGTGTCCTCTTGTAAAACTGCAGTAGAAATTCCTCCTTATGATCTCTGTGGCTGAAGCTGGAAGGTTTTGGGTTTGATCAGATATATACAAGGTTGACAGGGGAAACATGGACACTGAAAGTGTCTCGTGGTCTCTTTTTTTTTCTAAAGATGGGATGTGCTTGCTAGAAGCTTTGGAGTGAGAATGAAGCCCCTCTCCTTGTGTGTCTGTTTCTAAAAGCTGCAATCCCCCCCCTACCAGCACCATATCCACCACCCCCGATCCCCCCTTGCTTAGAGATGGATGACTTGTCAGACAAAGGCAATAGATTCCGACACTTTGTGATTCGCTAACGCAAAAAACTGGAGCCCAAATGAGGAGGTCCCTTCATCTGACACTTCGAAAGGGGAGGGAAGGAAACAGGGATATGATTTAGAGTTTGGAATAAGAAAAGGGGAGAAATTAAAAGGACAAGGGGAAAAAAGAAAGCGCGCATATGGATCCTCGCAATCTATTTTAATTCGCACGTGGTGAGCTACTTGGGAAAGTTTAGAAGTGTACCAGTTCTGAAGTACGAAAAAAAAAGAATTTCTGATCGAGATGACCAAAATTAATTTATCAGCCAAACTGTTATTATTAGTATCATAATTATTGTTTTTTTATGATTCACAAATTCCCCACATAACCTATGTAAGCATATGTGTGTTGACATATGCATATGCTTTATACACAGAAGGCACACACATTGCGTTCACATCATCCATAGGGCACAAATCGCACAATTTAGTACTGTGCTGCATTTTGCGTCTTTATGATATTTACGATAAGTCTAAATTTGATACGTTAACCAGAGACTGATGCAAAACATTCAAATTGCAAAGCGGATGAAGACTGAATATGAAAATGAAATTGCACGCAGTGAGTGGGCAGGGTCGTGGCAGCACGAGCGAATACTTTCAGTAAGGTAACGAGTGGACAAACTGATCACGGTCAAATTTCCGATTGGCTATGTCGACGTGCCTGCTATTCATGTATTCTTTTATTTTTATTTAATGAATAGGGTGGGGGATTAGGGCTGGGGTTAAAGAGCTGGAGTTACAAAGGTGCTCCCGCTGACCCGTTAGGTGTCCTGTAGATGGCGCTCCTTGGTTTCGCTTGTTTTAGATCCTCCCGATAAGGTTTGAGAGTGGAAAAAAAGTTGGACAGTTTAACTTCAAAAACTACAGTACTATTTAACAGCGCGGTTAATCTGTAATCGTGTGTTAAAATTAAAACTTAAACGAAAAATACGTGGAAATATTACGACACACGTTATGGGCATTCTCAGTTATGTTTTGAAGATTTTCTTTTATAAATGAATAAATTATATAATAAGTTAGGAAAATGACCTGCATCTGTCCCATATTTCCGTCACCCTATTCAATTATTTCGAAATACAAACTTCACGCTGCTCTTCGGTCCTAGGTTAGACACTTTCGATGTGAAATGAGTGTTTCAAGAAATACTAATTTATTAAGTTTCGAACAATTAGATGACTGCTCTATCAATCACATAAATAATCGTCAATCAGATTATGTATGTAAAAGAAGTAAAAAAAATCTAAAAACTTTGAAATTATTGGAAGATGCAAATATTTTACATCCATAAGTTTTATCGAGAAGGCTATGGAGCAAATATTTCAAATTGCATAACGCACAATGCCACCTGACATCAAAACGTTTATATGGCATTTTAATATACCGATAACAAAATTGATATTGGAAAGTAAGTTTAAAACTCATTGTTGACGATAATTATTGACAAAGGATTTTTCTTATACAAAAAGTGTAAGTTGGGAAGCACATCTCACAAATCAGCGACTCAGCGGTACTCAGTTGGTGGCAGAACTGTATTTTGTGAAGAAGCAAAAAACAACTATTTGATGGCGTGATTCTTTTTCCAAAATAAGGTTCTTAGTGAAAGGCAAATGGAGGTAAATTTAAAACTTTTTCACGGCAAAAAAAAAAATATCAAATGGATGAAATACTAAATTCATTGTATCGTTTCCTGTCGCTTATCTTTAGAGACAGGTTGCTTAATTTTCCAGTGAGGGATCTGGAGGAGTTTTCATTAACGTTTATAGGAGGAAGCAACTGGAATTTACACTTCAAAAAGCTTGCCCACCCCTTAAAGGAAATTAAAGAAAAATAAACTTTTTTTGGTTTAAGAGATAGTAATCACTGGATTTGCATCATTACCTCACCAATACGAGTGATCAATTCAATAAACCTTCTGGTAATTTAAGTAATATTTAACGCTACTTAAAAGGAGTAGCCTATGTGATGTGGATTTACAATTTCAGACTAATTCTTTAGGGTAGAAGCCGGTGGTATTGTTAATAATAACAACTATAATAATACAGTACACATAAAACTAGATGGACGTGCGGCGACGTTTCAGAACTAGTGGTGTATGCAAGGTGTGTATTCGTTTTTTGAAGGAGGTTTACAATCAGGATTTGACAGATTAATAATTAAACTAACAGGAAAATGAGATGCCGTGTACAAAACCGCACTTTTTGTTTTTTTAAAAAAGGGCAAATCGATTCCTTAAACGCTGATATCCAATTCAAAATTCGAAGTACTTTCATAAAAGGTTAGAAAATCTTCACTCGATTTGACTTCCACCCTCGAGAATCCCTGTATTCTGGTAACCTGGGATTCTAAAACAAATTCATTCCATTTAATGCGCATAAAATCAGCTTTAGATTTTGAAAGTCGGAAGTACAATTAAATAAAATTTAACTTTGCAAAGTATTTTAGTACTGGCTTTAATTTCAGGATCAAGTATTTCCGAAAGAATGGAGTCTTGGTTTTATTATGTCTCAGGGTGTTTTCATCTTTGTTTGCGGTTACGATCATATTTATTTAGGCTCTGCGAACTAGCAGGATTTGGGGGTATCTGGCAGAGAACAGGAGGCCACTTTCTGCGCTCTGCCTTCTGGCCAGGTTTGAGGACGATTCTTCTTTTTGTTACAGTTTTTGGAGGGAGCTTCTGGTACAATATGTAGCACCATGGGCTGTAATTTCACACTCTGCTGCACATTTCCCCTAAAGCTACATTCCTCTTTTTCTATAAGACCCCCTGAAATCTTTTCCCCCTTCCCTTCTGCACTGTGATATCTGGGCTCTGCAATGCAAAATAATATTGACAATAATGGTAATAAATAATTATTCGGCCCAAGCCGGCTAAGCTAACGCTGTTTGATGTGGTGTTTTAAATTGGTTTCCGTTGTTTTGCATCTGCCTGTTTTGAATGTTAATAACACACGTGTAAGACTCTCTGTTCTCGGTTCGACATCTAACCCTTCCTTTTTCTTACTGTTTTTTTTTCCTCACAATTCTCCAAAAAGCACCTCATCGCAAAAATCATAACCAAACAAAAACTGTAATAAACTCTGGTGTTTCAAGCTTAGATTTAAAACACGTTTATTATACCGATTTAGGCATTGCGATTTATGAAGCGCAAGTGGCAGAAATGTTTGTACGTTTCCGAAATACGGAAACGGTGCATATGTGCGGAAAAAGGCAATTTGTGCAAATGTGCAAAAGGCAAATGTGGTGATAAAATACATTTGTGAACGTGTTATCTTCGCTATTTTCTTGTACAAAAAAATCCCACTAATTAATCGGAGAACTAACAGGACAGTATTTTTCCGAAGTTCAATTTAGAACTATATATTTTTTCCATTCATTTCACAGGCTCCTTGATTAACCAAAACCAGTTTTTCTTAATGCTACAGTTGCCATGTGTGCGCAACAAAGCCAAACGGCTGTAGTGTTTCATTATTTACACACACCAAACACATGACATCACCAATCTGATATTCACATCAAGCTCGGAAAATCAATAAGGAAAACATGAGGATGCACGTGAAGCCAGGGAGACCACATTCCGTCCTTGCAAACTAAATGACAGCACTGCAAAAAAAAAAAGATGAAAGTGCTTACGAAACATTGTGCCATGATGAAACTGTTAATATATTAGTGATGAATTTGTAATCTCGGTCAAGGGCAATGACTGTGTCTGTATGGGGCACATCATCGTTCCGTAGGAATAGAATGTCGGTTTTCTTAAAAAACAAACAAACAACCATTATCGTGGCAGGAAATCTTGAAAAACAATGCACCCTTAAGCTGCCATGTGAATATTTTTATCGAGTTATTAATTACATTTGATTAGATAGAATGGATGAACCTGTCAGGTTACCCTGGTAATAAAACAGTAATAGTAAACAAACTTGAAAGATGGTTTTGGAGGGTGGGTATGGCGTTTCGTGTGCCAGCAAAGGTAGGATTTGTTCTTAAAAATATTGAACATTTTTTTAAAGAGAGTTGACGCCTAATTAAAAGAGGTTTGTTAAAGTGACAGAAAGCCATTCATCTTTAGCCTCAGCTGTTAATGGCCTGTGGATTAGCGGAATTGAGAATGAAGGCAGAGGGAGAGAGAGAATGGGACAGAATGAAACTCCTCAGATCGGATGAGCCCAGGAACCAAAAAGCTAGAGTCTTGCATTGCTTCCTGCCTCCCGTCTGTCACACAACCTTGTCCAACACTAAGTTAGCCAACTGAACAGTAATGAACTTCCTATGAGAAGGGGGAAATCCGCTTTTCTTCAATTTTCTGCAGCCTCTGGTTCCTGTTTCCATTCACCTTAATATTATTATGCCAACGTCACCAATCGATACGGCTTTTCCCTTAGACCTGACGTGCACTTCAGTTGGGAGCTGGCATCACTGGGTGTAAGTTGAACATCAAACCTTCTAGATCTCTGGAGAGATTATTTCTGTAATCCTAAAATTGAATTTCTGTATTTGATATTCCTGAGCTGCTTATCGGAAGGATATTATGCCTGTAGCATTAGTGCTCCGGAGGAAAACTGTATGTTTGAAAATGATGCAGACTGCATTTTTAAAAACTGTAAAGTGCACGATTAAAGGTAAACGATTTAAGTGCATAGTAAGACGTAGACGTATTGTTTTGTTGAAACGCACGGTGCATGTTTTGTTTTATTAAGCAATTAAGCAATTCTAAACAAAGCGGTTTTGAAAAATGTTTTATTTAAATGTTACGCTTTTCACTTCATCTTGCCGAGGTTTTTATTTATAATTAGTCAAACAAAACCAGCTGTCATTCAAACATTTTCTCTGGTCAAGCTAATACTGTAATCTATGGTAACTATTAAGTCAAGGCCTATAGTTATATTAAATAAATTGCAATATGAACGACTAGACTTTATATTTTACTCCGGTTAGAGATTACCACGAAGATAATGCAAAAGATACATTTCTCATAATTTCAGAAGTTGAAAGCACGTTTCTTTCTGTTACAGTGTTCCATTTAAAAGTAAATGACAGGATAAATTCTTGATCGTCTCTGTAATATAAAGTACATTACTTAAGATCACCCTATAAACCATAATGAAAAAACGACAATAGATCACAATCACTAATTTTAGTACCTTTT